ATGCAGAGATGCTTTAGATCTTTGTCAATGGTGGAAGATGAAGAATGGGCAGCTCCCACCTAAATATGACAGCTGTACTGTCTTATCTGGCTCTTGTAAAAGTAGAGGATAGCATGAGGAGTTAGATACTTACTGAAGCGGTACAAGAAGCCGATCATATTACCTGCATCTCTAGAGATGGATCGTATATTCAATTCAACGCTCAACTCTTCTGCTGTACCCACACCCAATTTCCCCGTTAGAACTGAGGCTCTATTGAGTGAGTTGCACATAACCCCGTCATTGGTATTGGGCATTATCTCTAATTTAGACCCCCACAATGCTAGTAGGGGAGATGGGATACCAGACATTGTCCTGAAGAAATGTGCCCTCTCCAAATTATATAACTACTGCTTCAATGAATCTTGTTTTCCAGACTGTTGGAAGTCCTCATCCATTGCTCCTGTCTTTAATAACTCTGGTGACCCTTCTAATTACTGTCCTATCAGTCTCCTACCCCTCTTCGGCAAAGTCTTTGAAGCTTTAATCAATGCCGAAGTGCTTAAACACCTTACATCCCATGATCTGCTCTCCAACAAGCAATATGGTTTCTGCTTTGCCTGTTCTACAGCTGATGTGCTTACAGCCATAACTGAAATTGTTTACCTAGCTCTTCATAACAACAGAGAAGCTTGTGCCATGGCTCTAGATATTTCCAAAGTGTCTGATAGGGTTTGGCATGCCGGCCTTCTTCACAAGCTTCAGGGCTATGGAATTTCAGGTCAATTGTTTGACTTAATACAATCATTCCTGTCAAACCATGTATTAAAGGTCGTTCTCAACGGATTCTCCTCCAGCTCATATCCCACAAACGCAGGCGTTCCCCAAGGCTCCATCCTAGGTCCTACTCTGTTCCTTATCTTCATCAACGATTTCATGACGTCATAAGTTCCCAAGTAGGCATCTATGTGGACGACACTACTATTTACTCCTGCCTCAGAAACAAATCTAGTGTTGCTGACAAATCTAACCTGGCTGGTTGTCTTGAAAAGAACCTCCAATCGGTTGGGAACTGGGGCAGGAATTGGCTGGTTAACTTTAATGCCTCAAAAACAAAACTGCTCTCTATTACTCATCACAGAGAACCATCCCTACCTCCCATTAGAATGTCTGATGCTCAGCTCTATGTGAGCACCTCTTTGCGACTACTTGAATTCACATTGACTGCTGACCTGAGATGGAACAAATACATTGAGTCAATAGCTTTGTCCACCACAAGGAAAGTTGGCTCCCTGCACCATGCCAGGAAATTCTTCTCGCCGGAGTCGATCCTTCAAATCTACAAAACAACCATTCACACTAGCATGGAGTATTGCTTCCATATATGGTCTGGAGCCCCTTCTGTTTGTCTCAATGTTCTTGATAAAATCCAGAGATGGATATGCAATGTATTTGGTCCTGATCTGGCATTTCATCTGCAGTCACTCTCTCACAGACATGCCGTCAACTCCCTTTATCTTTTTTACAAATACTTTCATGGTAATTGCTCCAATGAGCTGCTTTCGCTGGTTCCCAGACTTCATGAATTTAAGCGTTCTACTAGGCTGGCATCTCACTCTCACCCTTTCACTGTCGAAACTGTTAAATGTAGCCGTTTCTTCTACTCCAATAGCTTCATGTCTCACACCCCTCGCCTGTGGAACTCCCTCCCCTTTTCCTGTTTCCCTGATAGCTATAATCTCCAACTATTCAAATATAATGTCAATCAACGTCTCCAGATGCCTTGATCTATCCCCTATCTTTCTCTTCATCCTTTCCTCTATCACTCCTATCTGCTCTCGCTCCAAATCCTCTGTAACCCCTTGTGTGCTAGTGACTTCCCACCTTGCATGGGGTAAAATGCTTAAAAAAAAAAGAAAGAGTTCTAGTTGAGGTCAGGTATAAATTTGAGACCCAATTTTCTGTCAAAGCATGATGCCTCCTCAATGGGACAACCATTCATTATGACTGCCAGTAGTTCTGTGTCTGATTGGAGGTGATGGAATGTAACTAGTTTTCATTTTCGGTCTGATCTGGCTCTTATAAAGGTAGAGGATAGCATGAGGAATCAGGTACTTACTGGAGCGGTACAGGGGGCTGATAATTTTTACTTTGTAGTGACTACTACTGTGTTTGCCTACATTTTTCTCAAAGTGGTTGGTTAAATAATAAATACTGTTTACCACAGGACAATTTACTAATTGCAGTCACCACACTGAATTTTTCTGCTGTGAATTTCACAAACATGCTCTTTGTTAGAAAATCACCAATTGGTTAATTTTTCATCCAATCATATATTTTCTGTGTTTGTTCAATTCTCCCACCTTTGTTCCTGGAGCCTAGCGATAGTTATAAAAGCAGTGTTTTGTTACAAAAATAGACAGTAAAATCCAGCAACTCACACGTGTCTACACAGATTATTGATTCTACTCACTATGCACACACAGACACAGAACTTGAATTACATTTCACCTTTCTTTTTCTGTGAACAAGCCAAGTTACAAACCAACACTCTGTTAGTTATACAAATAACACACAACTGAATTAACTGTATGCTTTTTTGAATGCAACATGCTATTTCAACAGAGAACTTTGAACATTCTATTCAAGAAACATTCTTAATTGCATTTTATCTTATTCAATATAACAGATAACAGGAAACTACTTTCTTTTCACTTAATATTCACACATTACAAAATTGTTTTGTATGTGTTGATTTTAATATATATTTTATTGTTGAAACAAAAATCATTTTCTCATAGTTTTTCCTTGATTCAATAATGTATAAATGTTAAATGCTCTTCAACACGCAGCCACATTAATCTCTTCAACATAGTACACAAGCAGCATTTACAACCTGCATCTTTAGCAAAGGATTGTTGCGGATGTGTGATGTGTGTGTTGGAGAGGAATAGAAGGTTTGAATTATCAGAAGGTTTGAATTATCAGAAGGATTAAAATTGTGTGTGTTCAATAATCTTCCATCCACAACAATTTATACAAGATAGAGAATAAATGATTCATAAACATCTTGTTTCAAAACATAACAATTGAATTTATTAGTGTTTGGTATACATGCATGAATTGAATATTGAGTGAAAAGGTAGGACAGAGTCGTGTCCCTTTGATTAGGTAATAGTTGTACCTGAGTTCATATTATGAGGAAGTAATATTAAACTGTAATATTGAGTGTTTGGAATTGTATGAACAAGTTAGGTAGAGTTCAAAGATAATACTTGCATGAATTAACTATTGTTCATTTAACGTCTGACTGGATCAGTTGAGACGAAGTTCCTTTAAGGTCACATTTTGGTGGTGTGTTGAGATGTACGAGTGATGTAGATAAGTTAGGCTTGAGTCAGGAAGAGCAGGAACAGAAAAAAGAGAATATCACATGTATTGGGTGTATATATCTGCCTGTATCACATGGTATGATCAAATGGAAAACGTGGTAAAACAGATTTGTCGTGTGCAGGCGGTTTGATTGGTTGGAACTGACCAATCAGCAAGCTAGATTGAAGGTGATTGACCAATGGTTTCTCATTGATATTTTGTATGAAAGTAGGATGTTACTTACCAGATTGGAAGAGTGCATTTCCTAAAAAGAGGTAAGGCTGGTTTGTTGTGGAAGATTCCACAGAATCATATATAGGAATACGACTTGAGGTCAGACATGAGTGTGTTCTGAGTTGACCATAGAAATCTAATTCCACCTTTACATAGCACTATCCAAAGTTACTCTTGTCTTTTTTTACATTCAGCCAAGAACATCAGTAATTTCACCTGTCTCAATGTACTGTATATACTTACTTATCATGCAACTTTTGAAGACCTACTTTCAAAGCTAATTTTAAGGGGGTCTCATCATGCATAAGATATAAAATTAGTGTATGTACTGCTGGCCCTGACTACAATGTTGACCAAACTATATATCCATTTACTGTAGTCAAAAAGTACAGCTGTATTTAAAATAAACATGATTTTTATAAAACTAATAATATTGCATGTAATATTCACATATTAGTTTCATGTTATAAAATAGAAACATAGTGAATAGGCAACTTTTGCATTGTTTACATTTATAAGATGTTTAACTGTTTCTCATTCAGTTGTTTAGTGCTGTACACATTTAAACAACATGTATAGCATTACTAACAGTAATTTTACTATTCTCTTTTACTTTTTTAACTTATTTAACTTGAAAATAAGATAAAAGGATAGAGGAAAAGAAGTTAGTCTATTGTAATTTGGTCTTTCAAAAAAAGGACCTTGCATGATACGTGAGATCACATCATTGTTAATTTTAAAATTATCACTTTTACTGATATTCTTTTCTTTTCATCTTGTTCCATATTTTCTGCAGTTTTTTCCATTTTTTTCCTATTTTACCAGCGATATTTGAGTGAATTAGGTTCCTGTGTACACAAATATCTGAAAAGGAGCACTGGAAAAGAAAAGGTTAAGAACTATTGTTTTAGAAGAATTTTCTTTGCACTGAATTTCAGATGAAGACTCTTAAGTAAAAGACTTCTGTATGCCAAGAGAAATCAATACTGATCATATCATCTCTTTGAAATATTTTCAATGTATTTCTACAAAGTAATAATTTCTATTGTATTTTTTCAAGTGTAATGTTACGTTAACATAGCTTAATTTGAGAATCATTAAGATTTAAGAATATAAAAGTGAAAACCTGGGATAATTTATTCCATGATAGAATTTTTAGTGAAAGACTATCTTTCATGGAAAAAGGAATTGAAAAATAAAAAATAAATATTTTAATGTGTCCTTTTATTTTTGTTTGGTACGGCTTTCTATTATTTTTTCTTTCTTTTCTCTTTTTTTATTTTATCTTTTCATGCTCTCTTGTATTTCCCTTCCTTTCTTTCTCAAATTCACTGCATTCTTTCTTTCTAACTATTTATTTCTCACACAGCATTTTTTCTTCCTTTCTTTCTGTTTATGTCATTTTCTTTCTTCCTATGCTCCTTTCTTTTAGTCTTTCTTTTCTGTTTATACCTTTTTCTTTCTTTCTTTCTTTACATTCTCCTTTCTTTCTTTATGTATTTTCTATCATTCTTACTCTTTATTTCACACTTTTCTTTCTTTCTGTTTATATAATTTTCTTTCTTTCTATATCTTTTTCTTTCTATCCTTCTCACTCTCTATCTTACTGTTCTTTTTTCTTTCTTTCCATTTTTATCTTTTTCTTTCTTCCCAGCCTTCTTTCTTCCTTTTTTTCTATATCTTTTTCTTTTTTTTCTTTCATTATTACTCTCTCCTTTTTCTTTCTTTCTTTCTTTTTCTTTCTTTCTTTCTTTCTTTCTTTCTTTCTTTCTTTCTTTCTTTCTTGCGCTTTAATTCACACTTTCTTTCTTTCTCTTTATTCATTTTCTTTCTTTCTATATCTTTTTCTTTTTATCCTTCTCACTCTCTATCTTACTCTTTTCTTTTTTCTTTCTTTCTTTTTTATTTATATCTTTTTCTTTCTCTTTCTTTATTTCTACTCTCCTTTTTCATTCTTTCTTTCTTCTTTCTTTCTTCATGCTTATATTGTTTTCTTTCTTTGCCTTTTTCTATCATTTTCACTCTTTATTTCATACTTTTCTTTCATTTTGTTTATATCTTATTTTTTTCTTTCTGAATATTTTTCGTTCTATCATTTTCTATTTCACTCTTTTTTCTTTCTTTATCTATTTTCTATCATTCTCACTCTTTATTTCACACTTTCTTTCTTTTCACTTTTTCTTTCTGTTTATATCATTTTCTTTCTTTCTATATATTTTTCTTTCTATCCTTCTCACTCTCTATCTTACTCTTTTCTTTTTTGTTCTTTCCCTTTTTATCTTTTTCTTTCTTTCTTTCTTTTGTCTTTTTCTTTCTCTCTGTTTCATTATTTCCACTCTCTTTCTTTCTTGCTTTCTTTCTTTCTACTTATATTGTTTTCTTTCTTTGTCTTTTTTATAATTTTCACTCTTTCTCTATTTCACTTTTTCTTTCTTTCTCTCTTTCTGTTCATATCTTTTTCTTTCTATCATTCTCTATTTCACTTTTTCTTTCTCTCTTTCTGTTTATATCTTTTTCATTTTCACTATTTAATACTTTTTTCTTTCTTTCTGTTTATATCATTTCTTTCTTTCTTTCTATATCTTTCTATCATTCTCTATTTCACTCCTCTTTTTTCTTTCTTTCTTTTTGTTTATATCGTTTTCTCTTTTTTTATATCTTTTTCTTTCTTTTTTCTTTCTTTTTGTTTATATCTTATTTCTTTCTTTTTATATTTACACTTATTTTCACATTTTTATTCCAACATTTAAAAAATTTGAAAACAAGAAAATGGCTAACATTTCTACACCAAAGCCAAGGGTCATGTAAATTTGTTTCAGATGCCGATACTTGAGATACCAAAAGGGGGCACATTGAAGGGGATTAAGGGTCATTTCCCTCTGTAACTTTTCATTAATATTAAATGGCCTGATCATTTTGGACAGCTCTTGTTTTAACAACCAATGTGTGTATACATATTTATGGAATTTGTGTGTGTGTGTGTGTGTGAGTTCACAGACCTCAAAAATAACATCATGGTTACAAGACAGCATTGTACTCGGTATGACGATAAACTCCATCCAACAGCAAGGCCTATGATCAGGGGGTTTTGAGGAGCATGTAAGCACCTCTTAATTGCTGGTGTTCCTAGGTCCACCTTGACCCAGGGTGGTAGGGTCCCAGAAAATAGTTAACCCCAAAACTGGGGTCAAAACACTATGAAAGTGTAAAAATAGGTTTTAATACAAGAAATACTTTGTAAAAATATTTATTACCAGCTATGCATTTTGGAAGAAAAAACATTACCAGAAATAAAAATGTTGTTGATATTAACCAATTGGGGTTGATATGCTGTAAAACAAACCAAAACATAAAAACATAAAACTAGATAGCAAACACATTCCAAACATGAAATTTAAAATAATTCAAAAGATATATATGACCAAGCAGACTTTAAATGTCATGTAATTACTTATTTTCCTGATAATGGCAGAATTCAGTTGAGAGCTCTGAACCACAACAAGAATTAACAAGAGGTATGGCCAGTTTCATTATACCTTATTGGCAACTAATATGAAGCAAGACAGTTCCTTTATGGCTTAAAAGCAACAAACTCTAGATATGGAGTTTCTTTATACCTTAATTAGAATTGCCAAGAACTCTGAACAGTTTCTTTATGGCTTAACAGCAACTGACTCTAGATGTGGAGTTTCTTTATACCTTTAGAATTGCCAAGAACTTTGGACAGTTTCTTTATGGGTTAACAGCAACTAACATAAACTTTGGACTATTCTTTTATGGCTTTTTTCATATCAGAATCCATCTTGCACATTTATAACTTTACCATTCATTTGTGCATTGAATAATACTGCCATATCTGGTTTGGTGCTCTGGCTATATATCTTGAGATTATTGACAAAATCCAAAGTAGAGTCTATAATATTATTAGTTCAGTCAATTTCCTACCACTGTGACATGGCTTCCTTCTGTTTTTTCTATAAATATTTTTCATGAAAGTGATTCTAATAAGCTCTCCTTCTTGATACCTCAACCACATGAATTTAAACTTATAGTACATTGGCAGTTAGGTTTCATCATTTTATAGTTGAACTAGCTACATATCACTGTAAGTTCTGTTCTAATAGTTTCTTTTCTTGCACTTCCTATCTGTGTAGCTCTCTTCCAGTTTCTTGCTTACCTGCCACCTACAATCTTCAAAAATTTTAAATATAATTTTAATCACTGTCTCCTGTCTTTCTAAACACTGTTCTTTTGTTGTTTTTTTCCTCACTAATGTCTTCTCATTCTCTTCCACTCCCAATAAACTCTTGCATCTTAGTGGTATTATCACCTTGCTTGGGATGAAATGATTGAAAAAAATTCCATTCTGCCTTAATGGTAGCTAACACTAATGCCGGGAACAATTTCTTTGTGTCTAAACAGCAGTTTACATGAAAATCTAACAGATCCATTATGCATTAATGGCTGCTAACACCAGCTGTGGACATGATTTATGTATTAATGGAAAGTGATATATAGTGTGGACATTTTCTTTACTCCTAATTTCTATAAGCTAACATGAACTGTGGAGATTTCCTTCATGCCTTTATAACACCTAACATGAATTTTGAATAGTCCTACCTGTTCAGCTTCTATAGCTCCCAGGTATCACTTTTCACCACTATACTGTGGCAGTTTAAATCAGTGGTTGCCAACCAGTGGTTGCCAACCAGTGGTCGTCAACCAGTGGTCGCCAACCAGTGGTCTACAGACCACTGGTGGTCCATACAAAATTTTTGATGGTCCGCAGAAAAATTGGGACATTGTTTCAATTTTTATGAAACTTCAAATTTTCAATTTCTTTTATTTAAATAATTACACTATAACTTTGTTACCTTCAATGGGTGCATTTCATATTAATAAAATAAAAATTTTACGGTTATTATTATATAAATGTATTTACCTTTTTTTTTTCTAAATTCATATTAGTGATCTGCCAAATTTAAAATTATACATTTTTTGGTCCATGAAGTTTAAATGGTTGGTGACTGCTGGTTTAGATCATATCAGACACCTTTTTTTATCTACTTGTAATGAGTGTAAGCATGTCCTTGGATCTCAGGATTTCTGGCAGCTCTTTAAGAGTATGTTAAAAAAGAGTAAATCCTCAATCCCTCTGTTCTTAATTCATTTTGAAGTATTGGCATCTGCTGCTGACAAAGCAGAATGCTTTGCTTAAAAATCCTCATCCAACTTCACTCTCAATGTTGTAGATGGGGACAAATCACATAGGTCATGTGATGACCGCTTTGTGTATTCACTTCATACAAAAGTGGCCAGTCATTCTGGCAAGTAAGCTTATTGGTGTCAAGACACATGTGTTTGTTTGTCCTGCTGGGGTTTCTGCTCAGGGAAACCAGCTGCCAAATTCTACAGGTAAAAATTCTATGGTGTCACTTCAATTTGGGAATATATCTTCCCCAGAAATAGAAAGTAACTCCAGCTGATACTCCTCAGTTTGAGAAAACCCCAAAATCACCATTTTCCATTCATGGAATATGTTCTTTCCTGGAACATAGTAAATGAATCTAGCCCATTTGAATCTGGAGTCCTAAATATGGCTTCTCCAGAAACACAGAAGAATCTCCATATTATATATAAAATCCTTCTTTTTTGTTTCTCCTTAAACTCTGCTTGCCGTGTACATATATGTGATATATTTTTCTCTGTGTGGGACACATGTATATATAGATTTGTGTATGTTTTAGAGGTATAAAAGTCTCTCTGAGATCAAAGCATGTTTGTCATTGTTTTTCCTTTCCTTTCTGACATTCTGTTTTGTGTATGTCTTATTATATCATGGGTATAATATTACCCATAATGGGAGAAATAGAAATGGAAGAATAAAGCTTTCTTTGACAGCTTTCTCTCATTATCATGCATTAGGAATATGCCTGATTTTCTCTCTAGAATGGAATCTCTTCTGAGTGATATGCATATATAGTCCATAGTCCATAGCTATCATCACCAAACTAGATCCCCACAAGTCATACAAACTTGATGGTATCCCTGCAATTGTTCTAAAGAAATATGCTCCTGAACTGGCTACCATTTCCTCCAAACTCTACAACAAATACCTTGCTGCTTCTAGCATTCCAGCTTGTTTGACATTGTTTATAACAATATCAATATTTTTGATTATGATGATGATGATTGTAATCACTTCTGGTTCCACTAGGGAATGTTGGGAGCAAACAGATCAAGTGGCAGTTTGAATAAATATAGTTGTTGAGTTTACAACATCTTGTGCCGTCTTTCTGTTGCTTCAGTTTTTCAGTGGCCTGTCTTGTGCAACTTAACTTTCCACCCTAGGCCCAGTGGAGCATGGTGTCAGAGAGATTTGTTCCAAAAGAAGAAAGTTATTTTCTAGTAGAAGAACAGGATCCAATTCGAAAAAAAAAATTATTAAAAAAAAAGATAAATAAATTACTTTAGGAAGAGGGATTTTTATAACATCAATAATCAATAATTGATTATGATGATGATATTGATCCAAGTCCCACTAGAGAATGCTAGGAGCATTTGTGTTGCTTCAACTTTTCAGCAGCTAGTCTCATATAATTTTATCTTTCCACCCTAAGCCCAGTGGAACAGACATTCTTTTCTATAGTTTCTGTCTTTAAGAACTCTGGTGAATCTTCTCAAAATATGTCCTGAATTATTGTCCTATGAGTCTTTTACTTTGTTTTAGCGAAGTACTAGAGGCTGAATTGGTTGAGCATCTTATTTCTCATAGCCTTCTTTCAGATAAACAATATAGCTTTTGCTTCTCTACGTCAACCACCAAAGTGTTAACAATAATTACAGAATTTGGATATCGAGCTTTAGATAAGAATGGTGAGGCTTGGGCTGTAGCTTTAGATATCTTGATGGCATTTAACAGTCTCTGGCATGCTGGCCTTTTTCAAAAGGTCAAGAGCTATGGTGACTATGACTTAATTCAAATGTGCTTAACAAATCATGTAATGAAAGTCATCTTGAATGGCCATGCTTCTAGATCCTTTCATATTAATGCAGGATCCCCAGTGCTATATCCTT